TAGGAAATGCGTGTGTTTATGTAATAGGCTCATGATATTGTTTACATTATCTAATATTCTATTTCGAAATCATATTTATTTCCGTTAAGTTTCTAGCTCAATTTGCTTTTAGTGAAAAATAAAGAAATAGATAACACCAAATCTTCCCATTTTGATTGGTTAATGGGTGTTTTAAACATTAATTCGATCTAAAACTTGTTCAAAGTTTATATTGATAGAATGTAAAAATACCAATTACATATTTTATTTGGTTACATTATCTAATATTCTATTTCGAAATCATATTTATTTCCGTTAAGTTTCTAGCTCAATTTGCTTTTAGTGAAAAATAAAGAAATAGATAACACCAAATCTTCCCATTTTGATTGGTTAATGGGTGTTTTAAACATTAATTCGATCTAAAACTTGTTCAAAGTTTATATTGATAGAATGTAAAAATACCAATTACATATTTTATTTGGTTTGGTACATTCTTTTAACCTTGATGAGTAAAGACGATTTAAACTAAATTATCTAAATAAAAATTCAGTCTTATTGAATAATTTAACTTTTACAGTTAAAAAGATATTAAAGGCTTAAAGTTTACTCGTAACAAAAAATGTCTTTACTGCTTGGACCTAATGTTTGAATACTAATTTTTAAGTCAATATTTTTTTAATACCTATGCAAGCATACGATTCAATTACATTTAGCAGTATTTTTACCGTAGTAATTTATTACGAATTAGTTCCAATTAAAATTAAACAATGTCTCAATAAGTTAAAATCAATTTTGATGATTGAATTAAGTTTTAATGTAATAATCAGTAATAGTTAATTTTGGTTGATAAATACAGTACTTAATCAAATTACGTAAAAATTGTAATTATCTTGTTCTACATATCAAGTACGTTTAAAAATTATTCAAATTACGTCATTTTTAAAAAATTATTGCCCTACAGTCCTATTTTTGTATACAAAACAATGACAACGCAAAGCCTGTACATTTTAATTTTGGGGAATTACATACACATCAAATTGCCCATGTAATAAGTTGCAATATATCGTGTTTTGTTTCTGATAACTACTAAATTTCATCATCTGAATGTTTTTAATCAAGTTATTCACGTTGATAAGAGTATGTACAAAAAATCAACAAAAATGACTTGCAAAAACGGTATATGTTCGACAGAAATTATACTTTTTGGAAACAGAAAATGTGGAAGATATTGCATCATTCGGTTTTACCCATTAAGTTGAGGTTGTTAAATTGATTGATCGTACTGTAATACTTATTGGTTATTACTGTTAATACATATCTTAAGACAAGTGTACAAAAATGTGCTTTCGTTTTTTTGTTTTAATTTAGTGTAGATAAAGCCTCTAGACTAGACCCAAAATGCTGGTGTCGGTTTTCACTAAAATATTAATTAAATGTGTCTTAATAAATCACTGCTCTAAGTAAATAAACAATATTATAATACCTTGAAGACGTCAGGTAAGAGGAAAGTGGAAATAATAGAAGACGCAAAGTATAAGATAATTCCATTCTTGGAATTTGATAAATCAGAAAATGTTTACAGTGCGTAGGTAAAAGTGAAGGTAATTCAAAAGCTTTCGTATTTTTACTGAAGTTTGTAAGGAAGGATTACAAACGTGGATTACTTTATTTTTAGGATACGTCTTTGGCGGCGATATCAAAGCTTTAATGCTACAACGAAAGCTCGTGGTATCTTAAAGAAAAAGCTACATATAGGTCAATTTATTAAACAAACTAGTTTTAACCCTTAGATGCACCAGTAGTAGTGATGATTAGTTTTACTTAAAAACTGTTAGTCTTGGTCTTAGTCTTGGTCTTGTGTATTAAATCTTGATCTTACTCATTTAATCTGGCACTTATATTTTTACTGACATAATAATTGTCTTAACAGCTGAAATTTTCGGTCATACATCCGAGTTTGTCATTACTTTTAAAGAAAATAGTGTCGATAGTTATGAGAGTTATGACAACTCAAGAACTTACACGTTCTCCAGTGTAAATTGACCCCTCCTGCACCACATAAATTGACTTTTTAGTGAACAAAATAGTACTAGGTACATGAAAGAAGTAAAAAATATCGAAAAGAATTAGTTTGTCTCTATATTTCAACCATTTGTTATCCAGACATAGGAACAACTAACACTTACTTCAAGGACATTCTTGTAGATCCCTTTTTTCAAACGGTGGTTTTGTATATTCGGTATTAAAATCTAGCAAACATAAAATTTCAGACACAAAAAAAGTTTTCGTTGAGTCTTGGTTTTGTTCGTTCAGTCTTGGTCTTACTCGTTCAGTTTTGGTTTTAGTCTTTCTACTATAAAGACGATCTTGGTCTTGCATTTTCGCAAAACCAAGTCTGCTCATTACTAAGCAGTCGTAGAAACCAAAAATTAGACGATAGTTCAAATGATTTTGTCTGAAAGATATTTTCTTCGCGAAAAACTAATCCAAATGGAAGAAAAACTGATGGGATTCTTTTAATACTTGGAGCTTGAAGTTTTTAAAAAAAAAGTCCAGTAGGAGGGCATTTATGTAAAATTAACACTCTCAGTCGAATCAGAAAATCATTTGGTTGGCTCCAAAAAGGAAATGTATAATTTCTATGTTCGATAAACGTTTTGCTTTTCCTGTATATGTTTTGCATTACCATTTTTCCTTCAGTTCTAAATAAGAAGACAAAATAAAATTTGTGGAATCGTAAAAGCAAATCTACCAAAAAGTTTTTATCAAACCAGTTCAAAGACGGACGGTAAACATTGCAATGTGTTGCAAGAAGTTTTGGCAATAAAAGTTATCCAACTTTCCTATCTGCAAAGTGCACTGACCCCAATATTGGGCGAGCGATGCGTTCCGTTCCCTTCACTGCATATTCCTGGTAGGTAAATAACGTTTGTGTATCTCAAAACCAAGGGAAATGTTATTACACCACTGGATATGGAGAGATAGATTGGTAGAGAAAGACAGAGACAGATAGTAAAGCGGCCAAGCCACCTACTCGCTGATGTTTGATTTTCAGCTTGTGCACATATACGAACATGTACACCTAAACATTCTGATTTTGATGGCAGCTGTTATATATATTTCTTGTACCGAAAATAAACCAGTTGGACTATTTACTACTTAGCCGATTGGTTTACAGAGTTAGTTTTGCCAATAACTTTACTAAATTACTCTAAAGTCCATCCAAACTTAGGACCCCTATTGTCTACATTCCATACCTTTACATGTAACCAACTATACACCCAAATAGAAACATTTAGACCCGCCAAGTATTCTCCAATTGTTTATTTCCAACGCGAATACATCAGAACTGCTGATTTTTAATTGAGGATTTTGGTTAAACGAAAATATCGACGCAATAATATCGTCAGTTAGCTCCAGAATGTTGATGTGTTTTATCTTATTTGATTGATTGCAAGAAAAAAAGGTTTTCCTAAGTGTCTTAATATCATTTAAAACGCTTAATAAAGTGGAATGAATCCTGGTTCTTATGAAATTTTGTACATACATTGTTAGGGGTATAGGAAAGGACACAAAGTACCTTTTATCCTGAAAAAAAATCCTGTTTCCGAAGGATAGAAAAATTATTTTTTAATGTGGTCGTAGATGATCTTTGACATGTATTTAGAACATCAACGTTAGCGAAGAAGCGGGTAAAACCTAGTCTTTAGTAATTAATGGCGTTCTGTTGAAACAATTGTTTTTCTTAAATAAATTATAAAGTATATGCCACGTGTATGTAATATATTAATCAGTCTATTGTTTCATTTTGCTCTTGGAAACTAATCTATTCCTATAAAATTGTTTTGAACGTTTCATTGATGTCAAATGTTATCAACTATCTTATCGGTAGACAGTTTTATCACTCAGTAATTTCAAAATGTAGAAATTTTACTGCAAATTATTATGTTTTTATGTCTAAATATCGTATTATTTAAAAATGGTTTTGTTCAAAGTATTTTTATTTCTCTTGAATTAGACTCCTACAAAATTGTTAAAAATTAAAATATTTAATTCTTAAAATCTGTCATATATACCTAAATTAGATTGCTTTCTAATTGTTATTAAAATTCACTTTTTTAACGTGTTTGTAGTAAAACTTCTATTAAATTTACTTATTTTTCCGCAGTCCTGCCCTGATTAATGCTTCACTTGTTTGTGGTTTATGCATATCGCAGATGATGTAACCATACACACTTGTTGCATCACTTTACAAGAAAACACAATTTTTACTGTAAAATATGAAACTCACTTTTTAGTCAATTGTGCAACTATTTAAAGAAAAAAGCAATAATTGTTAATTTCTATTACACTATGCTACCGTACATTTATTATTAGTTACTATAGCGATGAATTAATTACTAATCGTAAGAATGAGAATCGTCATAGGTCCCCACTCTTAAACACGTTTGAAAGTTTGCCACGCCTCGAAATCGAAATTTGAATTTGCTTACACA